AGCCCAGAAGCTCTTCATCATCGATTAGAAACCGGCCGTGAAAGCTTACGAATGTAATGATACAATTCCGATCAAAATTGCCGTGTAAATGGTATATTTCACTTATTACTTTTAAAATCAATATGCGTTATCTTTTACATGTAAAATTATTTCAATTCTTTTCTTTTAAACCCAAAGTCGCTGGCATTGTTGCTTTTTTTAATTTTAAAACTAATTTTTGACGTTGAGCGAAAGACCATCATTTAAACTTTAATTTTGAGCAGGATAGTATTTTTGTTAATGTGCCTGCATAAATACTTATTCACTCATTTCTTTCAAATTTGGGAAGACGCGTAGATTGAAACAAACATTTAAAGTTGAGGGGTTTCTTATTTGAAAATTAAACAAGAGAACAACACACATTTAATTAAATATTTAAATTACTGTCCATCAACTTTCCGAAAATAGGCAAGTCGATCTCGAAAGTCTCGAAACACTCGAAAGATTTGTGGTTGGTTTTTTGTTGTATGTCAGCTGTAATTCTGTTCTACAATTCATCAATATTTTTCGGTTTATGACAATGTTAAATGGGACAAGATGTTAAATTTACTTAAAAATGTAGGGATGAGTTACAAAGATAGAAGAGTGATAATTAGTTTATATAAAGATCAAGAAGCAGTTATAGAGCTAGAGCAGCAATATAGAGAAACAAATATTAGGAAGGGAGTCAGACAAGCATGCATACTGTCAACGCTATTAATTTAATCTATACATCAAAGACGCGATCATTACAGACAGCACAAGTGTAGGGATAGATACAGAGGGGCAAAGGATTAGTGGGTATGCTTAGATTTGCAGATGATACAGTAGTATTAGCATCTAGCAAGGAGGAGTTAGAGATAGTTTTAAATAAAATGGAAACGGCACTGACAAAACAAGGATTGTATAAAAATAAATAAATGTAAAACAAAAATACTGGTCTGCAAGAAAAGGGGAAGCAGGGAAACAGCGAATATAAAGATAGGAGTCGAAAAATTAGAAAAAGTGGCCGATTTTAGGTTTCTAGGAAATCAGATAAGTCAGGACTGAAGAAACAGTAGTGATATAAAGCAGAGGATAACTCAGGGTCGAGTCGACTTCAATAAAAAGAAGTCACTTCTATTCCCGCGAACGGTTAATTTAGAAATTCGAAAAAGATTGTACAGGTGCGTAAAATGGACTGTGGGCGTGGCGGAAAAGAAAAGGTTAGAAACGTTTGAAATGTGAAGTTACAAGCGAATGATGAGGATACCGTAGATAGAGGTTAGAAATGAAGAGGCATTAACAAGAATAGGAGAACAGGAAACCCTATAGAAGTCAATAACCTTACTATGTATTTCGGTTCGTTTTTTTAAGGCCCTTATTATTTATTACTCGTTCTGAATGAGGGACCCGAAGAAGCCCCTAATTAGAAAGGTAACGCACTTCCCTGTTCGTAACTAATTAGGAGTGCCCGATTTAGGAATCTAATCCGGACCAAATTAGGACCTTAATTAGCCCAATTATAAAATTACTTAGATTTACCTAATAACTAATGCTTAGAAATATGATTGGAATTTAATTTGGGCCCGAAAAAGTCAAACATTAGTNAACAGTCACTGTGTTTATCATATGAAGTGCTAGATGATTTTCATTAATTCTATTTGTATTATTTTTTAATGACTGATCGATAGCTAACAAATTTTGCTAGAGTGTCTTTTCGTTGTCATTTACCTTAGTCAAGGTTTCATTGAAACTTGTTAACAATACCTGTGAAAGATGTGTTTGTTCTTTTAGGATTTTCCATATATTTTTATTTGAATTTTGAAGATTTGTTATGAGTTTATTAATATTTATCAGCATCGTCTTCATCTAAAGTACCAAATAATGTGTGAAAGCCTTTCCTAAATATATTAAACCAACCTCTTCTGACTCGCTTTGCAGGTAATAAAAATCTAATTTTCTCTAAACCTTTTTCTAATTTCATTACTGTGATCCCTAAAATGGTAACATTATTGAATTTGAAATGTAACTTATTTAATTTAAATTCTAAATTTTGAATCTGGATTTCAAATTCGAAAATAATGGATTTATGTAGGTGTTTTTGTAAGCTAAAATAGTGTAAGAAGTGTCAGATACAATGAGATTTCCTTTAGGATGGAAATATATTTCTGTATTAGGCAACTCATCCGTCTACGGCTACGCATCTGAAGAAGAAACAGATTTATATAATTTAATCTGTTAGATATTAACCATAGTGAATTCTTTGTTTCTCGATTTTTTATAAATTTTGAAATTGTTTTCGCTAATAGTTTCCATTATCTGAAATGGACCCAACCATTTGGAATTACCCTGCCTGTTTACTAAGAAATTTTTTAGAAATATTTTATCGCCTAGTTTGTACTGCGGTAACTGGTTTTTAGTTCTCGAAAAGTGTGAGTCTTTAACCTTTTGTTTTTGCTGAGCTTGATTATTATGCGATATCTCATGCAATCTGCTAAGAATCCTTTTTTTTTTTTTCATTCTCGTGTGAATCTTGGAGATTATTTACATTTCTCGGTTTAATGTCGTATAATATTTCATATGGTAGCAATTTAATACTACTATTTACTGAAGAGTTGTAAGATAACACGGCGTGGGATAATAATGCTTCATAATTACTACTATGTTTATTATAATAATGTTGGGATTGTATTTTTTAAGGTGCAAATAACTTTCTCTACAGCACCGTTGCTTTTAGGATAATATGAAATAGTGTATGTGTGCTTCATAAATAGTTCTTTTTCGAATTTTGATAGAATTTTATTAAGGAATTCGCCTCCTTGATCACAATGAACCCTTTTAGGAATGCCTAAAGTAACTAAAAGGTGATTTGATACCACACCTGATTTGTCACTCAATAAGTAACATTGAATAAATTTAGTCAATTGATCCTGAATTACTAAAACTGTTCGCTTTTGTTTTTTTGAAAAGTAAATTTCGGCTGTATCCATATCTATGCGTTCAAACGGATATGTTGGCGTTACTGTTATAGTCATTGGATTTTCATAAGATCTTCTCACTGTTTTATTTTTTGACCCGTTTCACAATTGTTAATATAATTTGTTACATCGTCCTTGATTCCTGACCAATCGAAGTACTCATGAATTCTATTTAAAGTTTCATTTATACCCTTATGTCCGTACGCTGGCGGGTCGTGATGAAAGGAAATGTTTTGTTTACTTTCCGGGTTACCTGAATTTTTATAGGTGTTATTAATTTGTATTTCCTGATCGTCGGGAGAATTTAGTTTGTTTTTAAGATAGTTAATAACTTTAATTAATGTATCTTTTTCTTCCTTTGATATGGTAAATCGCAACAGATCATTAGAAAATGCCAAAGGTAAAATAATTAAGACGTTTTCGATTAATTCTCTAGGATTTTAATAATTGTTTACTATATATGTTAAGTTGGGGTTTGACTGTGTTTGTTTAAGTTCAATATTTTCATCGAAACTGGGAACCTTCTGTGTCGTGAAGTATAAAGTTTACCTTTTTTATTTTATCAGATGGGAAGAGAATTTCAAAAGTATGATTTTTATCGTTAAATTTTCCTACTACGGTCTTAAGTGTGTCATAAGACCTTTCGTCAGTAAGAAATATATCATAATCAATACCCTCGGGTATATCCGTAACACAATATTAATTTTTAATTAATTTTGAATTTCGGGTTCAATTTTGATTCTAGAAAGAGCATCCGCGTTTCTGTTTAATGTTCCTTGTATGTCCTACTGGTATACGTCACAGCCAAATATTTACCTATAGGGCCTTGTAAAAGGACAGCTCCAATAGTATATTGCGAGGCGTCCGTTGTTAAAATAAACTGTTTTTCGAATCGAGGATATTCAATTTCGTGTTCAGATTCAGAATCTGTTTTTTTCTCAACTGCTTCTAGCGATTGAATTTTAGGTTTTGAAAACCCCTTAAAGGGTGTACCCGAAAAACTATGCCTTTAGTTAATAGTTTGGCTTAAAATTATATGTACTTGCCTTAGGAGTACTTTCGGCAGACGACTGCATGTTAGTTCTAAATTTATGGTAATTTGAATATTGTTTAGAAGAAATTTTGCCTATTTTAACTAATTTTTTTATTTATTTTATTTTTATAATTCAAAAATTTTAATATCTGGCCATTCATCTACTCTTTTAGAAAGAATAATTTTACCTGTCCTACCAGTTAATAGTCAGTCTAACAAAATAGTGATCGTCAGCACTGAATTTAATAAAAACAAAATCTACATTTTCAATAAACTCATGGAGAGGTATGTTATCCCCATCACACGTAGGAATTAGCTCTGCCAATTCTCTTCTTGAAAAGTTTCTTTCCTCGTTTGAGGCCATGTTTTTACAAGTATATTAGAAATTTATATAATTTAGAAAAAGTAAATGTATTTGTAAACCTGTACAGTTTGGTAAATTGGTTAATTAAAGGATCACCAACCTTGTCAATAAGAGTCCATGGGTCCTGAGCAGCAGGGCGAACAGGCGGAAAGGTTTTTATGGACAACACAATGTTTCACTTCTCCAATGAGTTCTCAATGTTAAAATAGTTTTGTTCGAGAAAAAGGGGTTCACCATTATATTCCCGAAAAAGTACACGAATCTGTTCGAGAAAAGTTCGCCACTAAATTCCCAAAAATATTCACTAATCGCCTTTTTTGAAATTACGGAAAAGACGATCCTACTGACTGCGCTAACTGATATGATAAAAGTTCCACCAAAAGAGTTTTTAAAAAGAAGTTTATTTTAGAAGTACAAGATAATAATAATCAGGCTTAGTCTGAAGCTAGAATGAATTAAGTTTTCATAAAAGAATACAATATTGATAATTAGTCTACTAAGCATTTCTAAATTAAAAGATAACTAGCTGTAAGTATGGGAAAATAGTTTCCTTGAAAAGAGTGTAACACATATACACATGGCTTTATTATTGTTAGTTTTTAACTTATAATTTCTTTTTTTCCAGAAAAGCTATATAGTGAAACAGAGAAACAAAGATATGACGGATGGTTTAATAATTTGGCCCATCCTGATTGGGGAAGTGTAGGTAAGTTATAAAAATAAAACGAAAAATTTTTGCTGATTTTTTTGCATTTTTACCTACATAGTTGTTTACTGAACTTCAATTTCCATATATATTCTTTTATTCTTCAAATGTTAAATTAATTGCATTGTCGATTTACTTAACTCTTTTAACTTTAAAAAAAAATTTTTTGATTTTGTAAAACTGAAGATTACCTTAAACACTTTCGCATTTTAGTGGTTGCTTACGAGGTATTTAATTATTAGGTGATGAATACATTTTATCTAACTTTCGATTTTCATTTTATTTTGTGCAAGTATTATATTAAGAACTGTTCTGGTATGAAGACCGATGGATCGCTAAATCATTCGCCAAAACAACAAAGAACAATATGTTCTTGGTCAGTAATTTGTTGAAACTACCAGACATGGGTTTCTAACATACTCATTCTTCTGTTTCTATAAATCTGACCAAAACGAAGTTGTTTCGAAAAAGGATGCTGATATAATATCAAGATATCAGCGGTTTATTGCATTCTACTGATATTTGTTGTATACTGCTGTATTTCAATTTGATAAAGACCTAAGAAGATATGTAGATATTTGAAGAACTGAATCTGTGGCGCAATTCATGTATGGGATGGTGTCTATCTTATAAACCAGAATCTTCAGTTCTGGATCAATAATTTATCGAAACTATCAGATGCATGGATCGCGATTTTGATGTTATTAATTATTAATTATCTAAATGTCGAAAGATTATAATCTAAAACCTCCAATGCAAAAAAATTCGCTAAGTTAGCCTTATTGTATTCTGATCTCTTCCTTTTGTCCTTTCTTTTATAATTGTTGACATTGTTTTTTTGAAATAATAAATTATGCTACTTTTAGTGACAGAAGATATCCGTGAATTTAGTGGGGAAGTATTGTTACTATTTCCTATAATTTTAATTTGCACTTAATTAATTGCCAAGTAATTAATAATTAAGTAAATGGAACACTCCTTAAAAGAAGTTGGTCGTTACGATTGTAGGAAAAGTAACCCCTGCAATATTTTATTTGTATTATGTAGAAAGCCCTGTGTAAAAATTTGTCAACACTTTATAATTTATTTCTTGTTGTATGTTAATAAAGGGCACATGATAACTGTGAGAAATACGTGTCCTTAGATATGGTACATATATAATGGGTGTTTAAGTGACAACAATTAACTTACCTATATATTTTGTTTTAAAGTTCTGCTAAGAATTTCAGTCATCTTCGTAAAAAAATAAACTATTTTAGTTGCTTTCACAAAGAAAGGTAATTGGAAAACTGGAGGAAATGGATATGGGGAACCATGGTCCAACCAAAGAATAAAATTCTATATAAGCTATGAAAATGAATCCAGGGTGTTCCATTTGAAAAAACAGACTTACGATTGTTTGAAGTTAAACCGAATCCGCCATGAAATATTTAACACCCTGTATTTATTAACCCACTTTGAAAGTTTAAACGGGAATATAAAATACCACAAATGGCGCGATAAACGCCACCTGTAGTACAATCTTACATTTTAGGATTACGTATGCTCCAATAAGGTCCATTTAAATATATGGATATCTACTTGCTGAAACGAATCCCGGCGTAGATAACCTCTTCGTGATAGGCACGTTCCATGATCGAATACTTCGAATTATTTTATTTTAAACGGGAAGCTTAACTTTATCGATGCCGTTGTTTTAAATGAGCAGAGCATACCCAATAAGGTTGTCCAAATTTTCAAAATTTAAATCTAAGTACAGTTCGGTCAAAGTATCTATAACCAAGTCATAGGTATGCGAAGTGGAAAAGTGAAAGGGATATAACTAGACCACTTTTCGTTTAATGTTGTTGAGTAGTAATCACCGTGTACAGATTGCGTAGAATTAGTGCAATATGAAATGACCAATGTCGCGGGCGGCATCCAAATCAGGTTCATTTGTTCATCTGACAATACATAGTCCAAAAAGGTGCTGCAAAGTATATCGGCCACTCTCTACTCGTTTGCGCTCTCTTTCCCGCTTGTGCGCATCTTGCGGCTACAAATTCATTAGCCGAGCTGTAGTTTCAGAAATATTCTAATGGATAATCACCGTAAGACTCCCTGTATTTATATGTAACTCTATGATTTGGAGCACTAATGTTATAAATAATCGAAAGTAACTGAAAGTAAACATTAACATTCAACAGTGCGACAGAAATTCTATTTGACTACACAACTTATTTTTCAAGTGGTATTGCCAATTTGTTTATTTTTATTATTAGGTAGAAAATTCTTTTTGTACTACCACGGTCGTTTCTTTAAAGCTAACTAGGTCATTAAAGTTAACGTCACTTTTTCGAAGAATTCTGTTAAATAAATTAACGTCATTATAATTAACCTTTTGAAAACAATTAATTTTTTTATTAGACATGGCTTTCAATGAGTAATAATTCATTTCTTCTGTATTTTCCTAAAATCGGACTCTTTCGTAAAAGTGTTAGTTTGTTAAAGAACAAACAGCAATAATACTAAAAGAAAAACGAACGCGAAATAGTGGATAATTTAATACAAAATGCAGTGGGTTGAAGATAAAAAAAACAACCTTCTGTAAATTATTGTTTCAACACCTACTCGACTTAGGCGTAATATCCGTAATAAGAGATTAAACATTCAATCAAAGACAAGCAAGAATAATAACATCCGCAAGTGACTTCATTATTTTTTATTTTCGATTATAAGTTTTGTAAATCAAAAATGTTTTAAAATTGTNTTGGTCGTATTTATTTACTCGTATCACCCCACCCAACAATTAATTATTACCTCACTCATTTAGACGTGGATCTCTACATCCATATCTGGAAGTTCAACCAGAAATTATTTGTCTACGAATAGCTATTGAATATATATAGTGATTGATTTAGGAGCTCATACTTCGAGAGCAGATCAATTTTTTACTTTTGCCTTACCTGTAACCAATGCTGCCCTACCTCAAATTGGACTGTAGCTACAGCCCTGTCCGGGGATCATACATTATCGTATCTTGCGGTTTTTAGAAAAATTGTGGTAATTTCGATATCCTCACCGCTAAAATTCAAAGCAATTGTTTTTTCTAGAGTAGCATTAGTAATATAATAGGTGCCTATGTACAACATAAGATACTAATGATCGGCTGATGCATTGACTAGTAAACCGTAAATTTCGCCAGCTATTTATTACTTAATAATGTATGTTACATGACAAACCGATTGCACTGATAAATTTGAGTCTTGGTAGCCTTAAATAACCTTCAGCGGCTATTTCTTCACTTCTAATGCAGAAATAATATACGTCTAATTACTACCCAAAACTAATTTGTCATATTATGTAATAGCTTGTCTAATTAATGTATGGAGGGTAGAGGTAAGGAGTACCATCTCTGTTGTGAAAAAGTATCCGTCAAACTGCATTAAATTAGGGTGGCGCCACAATAGCACCAGGGTAAATTTCAAATAAAGCTCCGAAAGTTATTAGAATAGGATAAAAAATAAACAAGGAAAAAATTACTTTGAACTACCTAAATGGTTGAGGTTTGGTATACTAGACTGTCACTAATCACTCTAGTCACTACTTCAATCCATCAACTTCTGCTACATTCATATAATACCTTTGCCTATACTAGCGCCATTTTGGAGGGTTTTGAACTGTTATTTACTGCTTATAGCTGGACACTTTTTCAACTTTTCCCCCATACGAGATAGTTCTCCTTACCTTTACCCTCCATAAAGTAAAGCAATATATGATATACTAAACCTTTCCGTTGTGTTCAGATATTAATGTTAGCACTATACTTTCATATGTTAAGAATACGGTAAAGTAAAGTAACTTTAATCTAAAATAACAATTCATCAAGTTTAATTATTAAATCACATAAATTACGTAAACGTTACATGAATACTTTCTATTCACACTAAAATTTATCATACGCTATTTGAATTCGTCTAAATTTTTGCCATAATCGATAGTGTGCAGCTTGCATATTCCAATTCTACCATTACCTAAGCCAAACCCTTGACGTATTTATAGCATATATTCCAGTACAAACGTCTCTATTCTAAAACCAAACATATTTTATAGTGATTGTCTAGGTGACAAAGTCCAGTTAAGAGTTCATCCATACTAATATTATAAAGGCGAAAGTTAGATTTTCCTTACCAGTAGTTATGTTAGATCTTCACCCCTCATGAAAGAGATGGACTGCATCCCGAGCCGTTTCTCTATAACTGAACACTTTTCCAATTCGTTCCAAGTTGTATGTTTACTGCATTTTATACACTAACAAAGATTTTAAATCAATGTCATACTTTCATATACATATTTGGGTATAAAGAAAACAAGCACTGGGTTGATTTAAAGACAAAACATTGATTCAGGGCACGTAATGGCCTCCAATAGCTTCTACGTCTTGGAATGCGGTATAGGTAAATTAGTTTATCTTACGGTAAGCAATACAAAAATCACCATTATCACCGAGGCAACAATGGTGATAAAATATAATGCCTACATTTATATTCCTCCATAGGCATTTTTATACAGATAATTGTGCAAGTATGATGCCAACGTGGAAGTCTATTTTTTTAGGTCTGTTATGCTAGCCACGCAGTCAATAAATCGTATTTAAAAAATGTCAAAATTAGGTGTTTTAAGTGTTCATATTAGATGCAGAATCTAAAAATTAGATGCTCTTTTACCTACACCGCAACATTCAAATTTGAGTTTATTTTTATATTGTGTTTGCAAAAAATCTGGAAAAATCATTCACAGAAAAAATGTTCGAAAAATCACCTACCCAGTCCCACTATACGGCAATTGTACGTCTTTTTTTATTATTATATATATATGAAGCACTTTGATATTTAATAGTGGTTAATATCAAATATTAATGTGAAAATTAATTTTCAATTTTTATGCACTATAAACTACCTCGCGAGGGGAGGGTTCGACAACAGCAACAAATTCTCCCTTAATATCCTGAAATAGTTTAT